TATATATATATATATATATATATATATATATATATATATATATATATATATTATATTTCTAATATATGTTAAATATATAAAATATATCAAAAATTCGTGTGGGTATTTAAATGAAAGGTCTCGATAAGTGTAACATGAAAATGAGCTTATATTGTTAAAAAAATCATCAGTGGACAAAATACAACTTTATTTCTTAATTATTGACAATTTTTAAAATATAAACTCATCCTGATGTTACCCTCATCGAGACCTTTCATTTGAATACCCACATAATTTTTTCATATATTTTTTATATATATGATATTTATCATATTTGTGAAATATATGAAAAATTCGTGTGGGTATTCAAATGAAAGATCTCGATGAGTGTAACATCAAGATGATCTTATATATCGTCAAAAATATCATCAGTGGACAAAATACAATTTCATTTTTTAATTACTGACATTTTCAAAGATATAACAACCTCATCTCAATGTTACGCTCAATGAGACCTTTAAAAATTTCTTTCTCGAATTAAATTATTTTTTTATCAGTATAGCAATGACGCGTAAGATCATCAATGACGTGTAAGTTCATCCGATCGAGATAAAAAGTTATAATCTCACATTCTAGTTGAAACACTATCGCAACGCTTTTATCGGAATACTTCTTCTGTTGATAATTTTAATGAAAACAAAAGAAAAAAAATCTTAAGAAAGCCTAATAAAGTGTTCTATGTGTCCCTAGACATGTATGCGCTCTTGATGAAAGCGTGCGTGGATATCTAGACATATGATGTATGCCTCGAATTTTTTATTTTTTTTTTACCTACAACGTAAAAGCATATGATACGATGACTAACATCTACTCATGAGTTATATTACTCTAGACTCCTATTCATTTTCCTTAGTTTTAAAAAAGCTACGTTGTACTATGTATTTAAAATTATGTTTTACATTGTATGTTATATTTGCTTCGCTGTTTGATTACTGTCGACTGGCCTGCGGGTTTAATGTTTAATTTCTTTTCTTGCGGTTCACTAAAGCCTTAAGCTTGTACTACACAGTTGTTTCATTGTAAAAACAACAAACAGCAGAAAGAAAAATTCCAATACAAATTAAAACATTCAAAAACAAAAACTCCATGGATATGAAAGAATATAAAAATAAATAACAAAAAGAGTCTTGTGATAGTAAATACACGCTTATTATTCTTTGTACTGCACTTGAGTACTTATAAGAAAGGGTTTCGATTGATAGTTACTGGAAAAAAGCTTCTTTGTTATGATTATATTTATAATTATGTCATTTTATTTTTGTTTTAATATGTAACTATAAATGTATCGTTTGATTGGTAGAAGTTTTTGGGTATAATCAAACGCGCTGTTGTTAAATCTGTTTATTTAATCCAGCAAGTAATAAATACGAAAGTCATTTTATCACTTTATTTTATTAAATAAGTCAAAATCATAAATTATTAAATTGTTCAAACTATTTTAAATTTAAGTAATGAATTTTGACGAATATTGGGAAGATTGAAAGTAAAAAAAAATTTAAACATTCTTTTGACACAAACTTTGTGTTCATTGCCCAGTAACATACAAAATATATTTAATAAAGAGTATATAACACATTTTTTATGTTACAAAAGAAAATGACACAAGCTTTGTGTTATTTTAACACACTACAATTTTTAACACAAACCGTTTTCGACACAAATACACAATATTTTTTACTGTGCAGAAAAAATAATAAAATTGTTATTTTTTTTCAATTAAAAATTTATTTTTTTTATATTTTGAAAGGCCTTAAGGACTTTTATACTGTAAAAAAAGTTCTTTTGATTTTTAGACTTGTTGCGATAAGTTTCATTATTTAGACGCCAGAATTCAAAATTAATCCATGATATTTGATATTATTCTTGAAATAATTGTTTATAAGATAACAAAATGTTTGTATAAGATATTTTCTACATGTTTATAGACTTGTTTAT